ATAGATAGATAGATAGATAGATAGATAGATAGATAGATAGATAGATAGATAGAGAGAGAGAGAGAGAGAGAGAGAAGATCAAGCAAAGAGGCCGAGCTTTTAGCATAGGTAGGCAGATAGTGTAAGCACACATTCATTTTCCAGAAGAAATCTTGACATAGCCTTAATCTTGACATAAACTTAATTATTTGATCTGGAACCTTAATCTTGACAAGAAAAAATTTAATCAAGGTTTCCCATCACTACAATATGGATAGAAGTGTTCCATGCGTCCAGAAATGTTTAAATTCAAGTTCTACCCAAAGACAGAAGGAAGAAAAAGGCGTTGAATGTCAAACCTGTAAAATTTATTGGTTAAGCGGATCGCGTGCTGAGGGCTACGATCAGAAGCATTTAAGTTGTGATTTATTTAAGTATTTATGTGGGTGTCCATCAACTCCACCGGAAGGATCCAGAATTGTTTTTATTTCACGAACTTTTATAATTATTAACCTATCTTCCGCTAAATCACTCCATACATAATAAAGTACGTCGAAAACGTCGAAGTGTATTAAATCTTTTAGCGGTAGAGCGGAAAATTTCTCAACTGCCTACATTAAGAAGTATGAAAAATCTTCTGAATCTATATCTTCTGCCAACTCAATGTCAAAGTAAAGTTAGCTAAGCAAAATTAACTAAAAAATTCAAGTTAAAAATCTTTAAGAGGACAGAGAAGCCTGTCGTAGAAGTTAAAATGGAGCGCGGTTTTAGCACAGATGCCGATTTCGCTCCAGATGTTCGGCGATTTCGGCTATGCTATTCAGGGCCCATTACCCTGGCACTTAAACTCCTCCGCTAATCCTACCCAACAAGCCAATCATAAAAATTACAAAATAGGAATTGACAATTAACTTGAGTCTTTATTTTTTTGCAAAATTGTCACAAATTGGGATTTTTTAATGAAACTGTGGTAGAACTTGCTGATAAAGTTCAGTCAGTCATTTCATGCAACAAACAATTGTACCAAAGTATAATTTTTTTTATTTATTTTATATTATGTTTTTTAATATATTTTTCGACAAGTTAGCCTGAATGAAGTGTTCTGTATATTGAAATAACTATTTTTCCTTTATGAAATAGCGAATAGTAGTTAATAAATTGATAAATTTTATTTATTTTTTATTTATTTAATTATTTTATTTTATGTTATGTTTTTAACATCTTTTTCAATATTTTTCTGTGAATAAAGTGTTCTATATATGAAAAGAATTATTTTTCTTTGTTAAAGTGCGAGTAATGGCAGAAAAAGGGACAAAAGTCGTATCAGGAGGCTCGCACACATCACACCCCGTTACTCCCTATGATATTAACCTATAAATTTGAAACTTGGCTCGAAATTAGAGTTTAATGT